AAAAAAAAAAAAAGAAAGAAAGAAAGTTGAAATCTCAGCAGTTGAAGCAGTGGTGGGATAAACTGAAATCAATAGAATGAATGCGTCCAGCAGAGGTTAGGGAGAACAAGACTCCTGTCCACATATGGTCAGAAAAGATAGGTGAAAATTGGACAGAGGTAATAACTGGCCTAGGGACAGCTTCCATGAGAGGCGTAGACTTCCTGGAGGGCTCTTATGCCCAGACCTCCCAAGATTGTCCAATTGCCTTTCCTTATCTGGTTGATGTTATTGTTCATCTTTTTGGCAGTTCCTAAGCTTCAGAATATGTAAGTAAAAGTGAATTTGTACTCTCTGTCTTCATCTGAGACACAGACACACTTTTGTGAAGCCTGAGTGCGGAGATCCACAAATGTCCTGGTTTTCGAGCCAAGGCCTTGACTTCCTGTTAGCACTTTCTCTCCTGCTCAAAACAAAAAACAAAAAACGGCAGGTTGCAAAAAAAGACATTTTGTTGAGTTTAAAATGAATGTGGACAGACTCAATGTATAGTTTTCACTATTCAACTTAAAACGACTTCCCCTGTCACAAACTTCCTTTGATTTGAATAGTGTTCTATTCAATACATTCAAACTATTTTTTTTAAAGTTTATTGGCTATGATACTAAGTTCTGATAAGCACACTATTCTAAATTTATATTGTGAGGAAAATTATGATGTCATCAGTTTCCTTTTTCTTTACTATTTCCCTTTCTTCCCTCATAAAATAAATTACCTAATGTTCTTATGTCCTAGAGCATTGTCCCTATCCTTTTTTTTTTAAGAGCCTTTGTTTTATGATTTTAGTAATGAATCTGCATAGTTTGGTATGAGGTCATTAATTTTCCATAGGATAACACTTTTGTTATGCCTGATCATTTGTAGATTGATAATCTTTTCCTTGCATGGGTATAAGAGTTAGCAGTGTAACACTTTAGCAGTGACCTGGTACATATGGAAAAGGTGCTGTTTCCTTGAGATAATGATGGCATTATGGATAACCTAAAAGAATGTGCCTGCCATTACTATTTGGTGACTGAGTAGCAGACCTCTGAGAAGGTGACCACAGGCATGAGCATTGCTCTGATTCCCTCTGACTGGCCAGGCCTTGAAATTATGTTGGGAAAACTGAGTGAGCTTACCAGGTACATTACTATCTATTAAACACTATTGTTGGAATAATCTGTTTTTTTATAATAAGACAATTCACTGTTTCATCTTCCCAGTGTTCCCACTTATCTGTGGTAATTTCTTTCAGAAAGAATTGAGTCCAACTTAAGCTCATATGAAGCTAATGCCTAAGCCGGATTTGGTTCTGACTATAACTTAAACTTCAACAAAATAAATAACAATAGTATAACTGCTGCAGCTATTTTCTCTAGAGACTCACAGAAGAAAACTTTAAGGCAGTCAGCTCAGATAATATTATCCGATGAAGACACTGAAGTTGAGAGGCTCAGTAACATGCCCAGGTCACAGAGTTAGTTGTAGATATAAAGCTGGATAGGTTTCCTTGGGTGATGATGCTCATTTGGTGTTCCAAATATGGCTTCCCCACTTGCAGTGTAAGCATGTTTATAAATGGCTATTAAGCACATAAAGGTTGCTATGAGCATGCAGCCATGTGACTAAGGATAGGAAATAATTATAATAATTGTACCTCATTTTTTCCTTATGGACTCAGTACTATGATTAAGTGAGAAAGATCAATTTCCTTATTTCTTCCCACAGTACTTACTAACATTTATTATACCTGTCAGTGTTCTTATGGTACTGAACTTGATAAAAAACATAATCTTAAAAAAAAAAAAAAAGTAGCCCAAAATCATCTCAAAATCCAAGTGATATAGATCTGTGGTCCATGTTCATTCTATTAACTAGATAATTTTCTAACATGCATTTTTAGATTCTGCTTGTATGGACCAGAGCTTAAGTGGTTTTGCTAAATATTAATATTTGGGAATGACTCCACTGGAGGACTTGAAAGAATCGATTCCTGAGCAACACCTAACTTAGCTTCAGTCTAGAGACTTGGCCTGCCTCCCATGGGGAGGAAGCAGCGTTCTGACCACTTTGGTTCTCACGTGCCTGCAGTAAAGGGCGAGGACAGAATCTTTTGCCTCAATTTTCAAAGAATGTGATCTGATATAGCATCCTGCTCCAGAGGCCTCCCATAACCTCTTCTTCTATAACAGTTCTGTTAATTTGCAGTTGGATGTAATAAGACATATTTTGGGACAAAAATTAATATATATAAATGTAAATATGTATATATTTCTTTCTTATTTAAGATCTCCTCACTTGTCAGTCATTTTACCTACTTTTCTCACCTGAGAAATGGACATAACATTTTATGGCAGTTGATGAGAATTATTTTAGAAAGGTTTAGCATTCAGAGATGCTTTCTTGGCTGAAAGTTTTTATTGACATCATTGAAGCCTTTAAATCTGACCTGCTTTCACTAAGCTCTCCATGTACATACGCTTGGTTATAAAATACTTACCTGCAAAAGGTAAATATTTTCTTTTCTGATTGTCTTTGTTGTATTTTTGTTTTTGGTTTTTATCCCCAAGTGAGCTTTTCCAAAGCTAATTTAACTGCAAAGAGACATATGCTTTAGGTCTGTACTTGTTAATTTACCTTAGAAAAATTAGGTCATCTTCAAATCTGGCAGTGTGGCTTACACACTTGGCAAAATGGTCTAATTAAAAGCTTCCCTTAGGTTTGAAAAAAAAAAAAACAGAAAAAATGGTTAGTAACAGTAGTGTTTTCATTTTCATCATTTGTGTGTATATAGGTATATGTCACTTCTCATGTTGCATTAAAAGTATGCTGACTGTCTGCTAACAGTTCATCTCTTTTCTTCTGCAGCCTCCAAGTCTGTTATAAATAGTATGCTGCGGGACCCTTCTCAGATTCCAGATGGAGTTCTAGCAAATCAGGTCTATCAGGTATTAATCACAGCTGTCTATTTTCAGTGGCAGTGCTGCTATCTGCCTAGCAGAGTAAAGGATTTTAAACCTCATTTAATTACTGTCATCATAAACTATCACTGAGGTCAGGGTGCACCATAAATGGCAATGCAATATTTGCGAGAAGAGCATTTCACTTTTTTAATAGCTTGCTTTTATAGTGAATAAAAAGCATGCAATATTTGTTTTTCTGTGATTAAATCTGAACAGCCTTTTGATAGCTTTTTAAAAAAAATTTTTTTTATTTTTAAAAAGTGATTACTGCTTTTAGGATATTGTTTAACTGCAATAGATTTTTCAGTCTCTCCACCCCTGACCCCTTTCTCTTATTTGTCTGCAGTGCACTGTGAACGACTGCTGTTATGGACCACTGGTGGACTGCATCAAACAGTATCCTTTCCCATAAAATTTTAGGTGCACAATTGACGAGCTTAGACTCAGTGGAGAAGATGTGTCTAGCTTTAACCTGACATAAAGTTCTGCTTCACAAAACACATTTCATACCCTTCTATTTTACATTCAATCAACTGGAGGGTCACTGCAGACCATTTTTTCTACGGCTTAGGAAAAACCAGATAGGCTACAGGAAGATGTCAGTTCAGCAGCTGTGCATGCACATGCTTATTTCAAGCTGCTTGGTTTTCAGTGAGTTTAAAGGTACAGTCATTAGGCAGATAACATACTGTCTTGGAATGTATCTTACCATTCCAATGAACATTTTTTTAAAATACAACAAATTTCCATTTAAAATGAGCCAAATTCAGTTGAGTTTGCTAGAATAAATTTTGAACCTGAAGTTAAAGGATAATGTGATTAAAATGTCGCCAGAATCCAGAGAAAAGCAGGTGTGTAATCATACTTAGATATGATGAAACACACTTTGGGATAAAAAAGTTAACAAGAGACAAAGATGGACATTCATAATTATAAAGGGGACTATACAACAAGAAGACCTAATACTTATCAATATATATTCCCATAATCAAGGAGCACCAAAATATATAAAGCAACTACTAACAGAACTAAAGGGAGAAACTGACCAAAAAAAACAATTATAGTAGGGGACCTAAGTACACCATTGACAGCGATGGATGGATCATCCAAACAGAAAATCAATAAGGGGATATCAACCTTAAATGACACATTAGACCAAATGGACATAATTGACATTTACAGAGCATATCATCCTAGAACACCAGACTATACATTTCTTTCTTGTGCACATGGAACATTCTCAAGGTAGACCATATGCTGGGACACAAAACTAGCCTCAGCAAATTTAAGAAGATTGAAATCATACCAAGCATATTCTGCAAGCACAATGCTTTGAAATTGGAGATTAACTGCAAAAAAAAAGCAGGAAAAACCACAAATATGTGGAGATTAAACAACATGTTCCTAAAGAACAACTGGGTCAAAGAAGAAATAAGAGGAGAGATCTAAAGGTACATAGAAACAAATGAGAATGAAGATATATCATATCAAAATTATTGGGATATGGTGAAAGCAGTATTAGGAGAGAAATTTATATCATTACAGGCCTATCTCAAGAAATAAGAAAAATCCCAAGTAAGCAAGCTAACATTACATGTTAAAGAACTAGAAAAAGAGGTGCCAATGAAGTCGAAAGTCAGCAGGAGGAAGGAAATAATAAAAAATAGGGAGAATTAAATAGAGAACAAAAGACAATAGAAAAAATTAATGCAACACAGAACTGGTTCTTTGAGAAGATTAATAAAATTGGCAAACCCCTGGCCAGACTCACTAAGCAAAAAAGAGAAAAGACACAAATAAAATCAGAAGTGAAAGAGAATTTATGACAAATACCACAGAAATACAAAGGATCATACAAGAATACTATGAAGGACTATATGCCACCAAATTCAATAACCTAGAAGAAATGGACAAGTTCTTAGAAATATATAACCTTCCTAGACTGAATCACGAAAATTGTAAAATTGTAAAATTGTGATTATACATCACGATCAAGTGGGGTTTATTCTAGGGGGACAAGGATAGTTCAACATACGCAAATTGATCAATGTGATACATGACATAAGCAAAATAAAAGATAAAAATCATATGAGTATATCAATAGATGCAGAAAAAAAGCATTTGACAAGATACAACATCCATTTATGATTAAAATACTTAATAAAATGGGTATAGAAGGAAAGTACCTCAATATAATCAAGGCCATATATGAAAAACCCACAGCTAATATCATGCTTAATGGTGAAAAACTGAAAGATTTTCCTCTAAAATCAGGAATAAGACAGGGATGCCCCCGATCATCACTGTTATTCAAAATAGTATTAGAAGTCCTAGCCAGAGCAGTCAGGCAAGAGAAAGAAATAAAAGGCATCCAAATTGGGAATGAAAAAGTTAAATTATCACTTTTTGCAGATGACATGGTATTTTATACAGAAAACCCTAAAGTCTCCACCAAAACCAACCAATTAGAAACAATAAACATATACAGTAAATTTGCAGGATACAAAATCAATGTTCAAAAATACATTGCATTTCAGTATACTAACTGGAATTTCAGAAAAAGAAATGAAAAAATAATTTATTTTGCAATTGCAACAAAAAGAATAAGATGCCTAGGAATAAACTTAACAAAGGATGTGAAGGACCTATACACTGAAAACTATAGGATATTATTAAAAGAAATTGAAGAAGACACAAAGAAATGGAAAGATGTGCTGTGTTCATGGATTGGAAGAATCAACATAGTTAAAAGTGGCCATATCACCCAAAGCAATATACAGATTTAATGCAATCCCCATCAAAATTTCAATGGCATTTTTAAAAGATACATAACAAAATTCATCAGGCTTGTATGGAATCACAAAAGACCCCGAATAGCCAAAGCAATCCTAACAAAAAAGAACAAGGCTGGAATCATCACACCCCCTGACTTCAATTTATGCTACAAAGTGACAATAATCAAAACAGCATTGTATTAGCAGAAAAACAGACACACAGACCAGTGAAATAGAATTAAGAACCCAGAAATTAAACCCCTATATATGGGCAGATGTGTGTGTATATAAAATATATAAAATTTTTGACAAAGGATCCAAAAGCATACAATGGAGAAAAGAAAGCCTCTTCAATAAACAGTGCTGGGAAAATTGGAAAGCCATGTGCAAAAGAAACTAGATTGTTATCTGTTACCATATACCAAAACTAACTAAAAATGGATCAAAGTCCTAAACATAAGACCTGAAACAATTGCATAGAAGAAAGTGTAAGCACTAAACTTATGGATCTTAGGTTCAGAGAGGAAGGCAGGGGAAATAAAAGAAAAAAAATGAATGGAACTATATAAAATTAGAAAGCTTCTGCACAGCAAAAGAAACCATCAACCAAACAAAGAGGCAACCAACTGAATGGGAGAAGATTTTCGCAAACAGCACGTCCAATAAGGGGCTAATATCCAAAATATATAAAGAACTCATACAACTCAACAGCATAAAAACACAATCCAATTAAAAAATGGACAGAGGAACTGAACAGACATTTCTCCCAAGAAGACACACAAAAGGCCAACAGATATATGAAAAAATGCTCAACTTCACTAGCTATTAGGGAAATGTAAATCAAAACCACAATGAGATGTCACCTGACACCTGTTAGAATAGCTATCATCAATATGACAAATAATAACACATGTTGGAGAGGCTGTGGAGAAAAAGGAACCCTCATACACTGTTGGTGGGAATATAAATTGGTACAGCCACTATGGAAGGCAGTGTGGAGGTTCCTCAAAAAATTAAGAATAGAATTACTATACGACCCAGCAATTCCTCTTCTACTCAAAAGATCTGAAAACATTTAACCATAAAAATATATGTACCCCTATGTTCATTGTAGCATTATTCACTGTGGTCAAGACAAGGAAACAACTAAAGTGTCCTTTGATAGATGATTGGATAAAGAAGATGTGGTACATATACACAATGGAATATTACTCGACTATAAGAAGAGATCACATACTACCATTTACAACAACATGGATGGGTCTTGAGATTATCACGCTAAGCAAAATAAGTCAAACAGAAAAAGTCGAGAACCATAGGATTTCACTGATATGTGGGATATAAAACTGAAAGCAACAAACGAACAAGACAAACAAAAACTCACAGACACAGTTTAGTGGTTACCAGAGGGCAAGATGGGGGGGTGGGGGGGTGAAAGAAGATAAAGGGGGTCAAATATATGGTGATGGAAGGAGAGCTGACTCTGGGTGGTGAACACACAATGCAATATATAGATGATGTTTTATATAAACGTACACTTAAAACCTGTATAATTTTACTAACTAATGTCACCCGAGTAAACAATAAAGTTTTTTAAAATGTCGCCAGAGACCATCACATTTTAAAGGGCAGTAGATTACAATCTGATTACAATCTGAGCTATCAGTTTGATCCCTAATAAACAATTATAGAAAAACTGAGTTAATTTTTTCCTCTGGACTGAATTTAAGGCTATGAAAACAGATGTCCAGTCATTTATTAAAGGCATTGAGATTACTAAAGAGTTAATGTTTACTTCTTAAAACAGGATTTGAGTGGAAGGCAACTGTTCCATCGTGTAGGACATTATTCACCAATACATTTAGTAGTGTGGCAACACTAAGCATTTTGATTATCCTTGGCTAAGAATGCTATTTAAAGAATAGGTAGTATTTGTTAATGAAATTTATATTTGTCTGAATCCACGAGTTTCACATTTCTTAATGATAGAACGTGCCCTTCCTGGCATAGGTTCTGTTAGTGTAGGTGGCGTGTGACCAGTTGTGATTTGGAGACCAGTCAGGAGGCTTTTTCTGGAAGCCCTCGCTAATTAAGTGTCTGTGTCTGTTTATATCCCACCTTTGTTTCATAAAAGCTTAGAGTCAGTAAAACTTTTTGGGGAAAAAAAAATTAATCACTCATTTTCTTTTCCATAAAGTTAACCTTTGAAAAATATTCTTTTAACAGAGCCCCCTTGTAAGAATATTCAGTACCTGTGTTATATATATATAGCCCTGTATATATTTATTCTCCACATCTGTTCCCCCCAATCTACTTAATAAAATTGCAGCATTATCATAAGCTTACCTTTTTGTTAGACCAAAGTAAAACCGTACTTCTATTTTCAGTGTAAAATTAATGGTAGTGTTTGAAATTGTAGGAATGCCAATCTCATGTTGCTACAGCAATAAAGTTTAGCACATTCGTGTAACAGCTAACACCATCTCAGAGTATCTGCGGCGGAATTACATGTTAATTTTGAAGCACATAAAATAGTTAAAAATCAATTTAAAGTTAAGGTTTTAAAAGCATAATGTCTCTTGAAGGATTGCATATTGATTTCAAATATAACTACCTAATTATATATGCATGGACTAAAGTATGAAGTCAACTGCTTTGTAAATGCCAGGAGGCTATTTTTCAGTAATAGTTGAGATGCTTACGGGAAACTAGATTGCTGTATTGCTGGCGAAGAAAATGGCTTGTGAGGTTATTTACAAGTTTTGCCCCATGGTCACTGCCATACATCAATAACAGGTATTATTATAGACAAAGTCTAAGTGTTTCTGCTTATAGAGCATTATAAATTCTGTTCAGAATATTTTCCTTACATTTTTGCCATCATTCACTTTCCTTTTTTGGCTGTGTTATTTAGCCCGTAGAATTTAATGTGGTACATGATTTCAATTGATAAAGACAATGATGTATGTCTATAAATTGCATTCACTGACTATAATTTTGCAGTTCCATTATTATGCCTATTTCTAGTAAAATTACTATTTTTACAAGCTTTATTTTCTAGACCTTGTATTTTATATATGTTTATGTCAAGCAAAGCATAATCAAGAAATGTGTCTTTCCAAAATTTCAAATTGGTGATTGCTTTTACCATGCAAAATAAAACAAGCTGGGAAGTTTATAGAGAACTGATTTTATCTGCATTGAGGTAGTAGCAGTTTTATATAATGTAAATACACTTGCACAGGTGTTCCCTAGACTGATCAACAGGAATTATTTTATTTCATACTGAATAAAAATTATTAGTTTTCCGTGTGAGTGAAAGTGCTATTTGTGTGTTGTTCTGATAATTTGATAATGTTTACATTGCTTACTCTCAATGGATTACATCATTTTGTAAAAAAGAAAGCGCACATTTAGTAAATTTAGAATAGGTACAAAATCTTTTTCTACTCTGTTATAAAATGTTACACATAGACATTTGTGTAAGCAGAATAAAGTAAATTGATCATTTACTAATACGACACCGAAAAAGCACAGTAGCAAAGAGAATATAAATTGTCACTGTGCTTTCTTTTTCTTTTGGTGTCTGCTATTTTTTTTTTTCTACATAGTCATGCTCACCCACACCTTTCCTACCACAGGTCATATTCACTGACACGGAAGGTGTGAGAAACCAGACACCTCAACTTTCCAAAGTGTGACTTCAGGACACAGCTATTAGACAAAGACCTAGGCAGAGAAGCAAGCAAAGATAATGATGCAGGAAGCTTAAAATGCTGTGGGTTTCATTTCTGTACCATCAGTAACCTTAGTTTCATGATTCAACATTTTAGATGTAAATAATTTACAACAATAAAAGTGAGAGCACATTTATGTGGAATAGAAGTAAATAATTTAGTTCTTAGATGTGGTATGCCCCCCAGTAATGAGAAATCATTGAGAGGTACTCATCAGATGTCTTCAATGAACTCTGCAAATGTGTGAAATTTTGTGATTTAAAAATTCGTTTCCTTTATTTTGTTTCCAATAAGAAATTAAATAAGCATAGCCATGTGCATTGGAGTGGGGAGGGGGGAATAACAGAAGGAAAAATGCAGTGATGATGACTTCGGGCTCATTTTGATGGTTGACATGAGTGGCCACATCTGTGGAATTTGAAGATTTAAACAATACTCACCTGTATCTGTTGATAAAGAACAGGATAATTCTCTAGGAAGTGTTTTGGTTTTTTTTTTACAGACAATATGTAAGCTTTATTTGATTTAAATTGGACTCTTACAGTTCATGATCAGAATTAAAGAGTCTCTGGTAAGCCAAAGAGTGATATGACCAAGTTGACATTATCAGTGAAATGGAGAATTAGATAATTATTACCAAATGCTTTTGACAGAATTAAAGTATCAGAATAGGGTAACACTCCTTTTTAGACTTTGTGCTATCTCATCCTTTTGGAAAATACACCCAGAATTCAAAGTCCCATAACTGACTTTATTATTTACCGACCATGGGACCACCCTGCAGTAAGTTCCCCAGCCTTTCTGAACCTTGCTTTTCTTCACTGTAAAAATGGGACTAATAATAACACCTACTCATGTGCTTGTTGTAAAGTTTAAATAAGATGATAGTACCCCAAAGTGTGTAGCATAAAGGCTTTGTGTATGGTATTTAAGAAATATTAGCATACTATTTTTAGCATATTATTTTTATATAATTTTAACACTTTTCAAGAAGCTGTATGAAGGTCATAAACATGGCCTTCGCAGAGATCTTATTCCGATCCTCTGCTTTACCACACACATCCACTGTATGACCTTGTGCAAATTCCTGTCTAAGCCTCAGTTTCCTCATCTTTAAAATATGGATGATGATAATTGTGGGGATAAAATAACACATAAAGCACTTAACACAATGGCTGCCTCATAAGAAGCACTCAAAGAATTTCTGTGTGCCTGTGTGTATCTATTTATATGTGTGTTATAATATGTGTACACTTGTACACACATGATGAAAAGAGTTGAAACAGCTTCTGTACCCACACCCTAACCCACAGTGCTTTACGAAAATGTCGTTCCTCCACATTACATATAATCCTCAATAAGTCAGTTGTTTGGCTTCCCAAATCACAGAAGATCACCAATAATAGATTGGAAGTGACACAGGAGCTGCTAAAAGCTGCTTCTGTGACAAGTGTGAATTCACAGAAGATTTATGGAATTCTATAAGATTGGAAACTTTTAGGGCAAAGGCTGGTTGGTATTCTTTGCTGCCGTTAGTAAGTGCTTAATAAAGTTGTGCTAAATTGAACTGAAAGATGTTTAATACAACACAAAGGATGTTTAAATGACTGTCCCTCTGTTTAAAGTTATGGACACATCCATTTACAAATCTTTATTTGCCAAAATACATATAAACATTGTAGAAAATTTCCATTGACGTTCAAGTAAGGGAAGTGTATAGAAATCTCAGCGATGTAGGCTAAAGGTAGAAATTGTTGCTATAATTCTTATTTTCCTCTTCATCTCAAAGTGCAGACCTGGTATTAGTATTTTTCTGATAACATCTTTTTATAATTCTACCTGTGTTGCCCTCCCTAACTAAAGCTCCCCAGCGCCATTGGTTATGAGCACGAAGTCCTGCTGAGAGACTTGCTTCTGGAGAAAAACCTGTCCTTCTTAGGTGAGTATTGCTTACATCCTCTCAAGCTTGTAATATCTCCATGAGTGCTTAAATATATATTTTTTTAAAATCTTCCACTTGCAGTTATTACATACTAAAGGAAGAGTGAACGATGATTGATGCTGTGCATGTTATCTTTTATTGATTTCGAACTGAGCAGGAACTCCGTTACCTAATCCCCTGTATACACAGCACATGCACAGGCTTACAATTAATATTTTATAGAATAAGTGGCTGAAAAAATGCTTTAATATCTGTTACAGTATTACTTTTGGTGTCATGAGATATTAACCATAATCTAGGCCTTATGAGAGAAAGCAACAAAAGAAATATTGTCTATAAAATGCTTTATATATTAAAAAGAATGGTTAGAAAAATTCATGTTAGGTATGTTTGTCTCATGTGTGGAATCAGGTAGTACTTTTACTTGAAAGCCAGATATTAATATTTTATTAATTTTTATGCCAAACATTAATTGTCATCAGAAATTTAGTATGATTTTTAAAAATCTCACATGTAGGCATGTTTTGGTGTGTCAATGTGGAATCTTACTACATTTTTTTTCAATATCTTAAGCATTAGAAATTAAGCCCCAAAGGGCATACGTATGATAACTGATCATGGAAACCATAAAGCACTCTACAATGAATTTCTCTTTCCCATTTTAGATGTGGTACTTTGTAAAGGTTCTATACAAATCATACTATTGTACACATCTGTTTTATGTAGATATTTAAGAGTCTACATTGTGTGTTTTTTTAGGTTAAAAAAATTAAAGAATATTGGATTACGTCATTTTTGTTCCAAAATGGACAGAGAATTGGCCAAGGAAAGTCAAATGAGCGGTTTTACATCAAGTTGGAAAGGGATGTTGAATGCAGTCCTGCAAGAAATGTGTTTTAAGTCTTAGAATTCAATATTTTTATTAATGAACTGGAGAATGGAGCTGAATGTGTTATAAGATTGTTGATAGCTTGAAAGTGGGAGATACTATAAATATCCTCCAGCTAGGGTTAAAGAAAGTTGATAAATTAGGAAAGTGGCCTCAAATTACTGATTTAAATTTCAGTATGTAAAAGTAGAAAATCTTTTTTCATATAAGGACAATTGAAATGTTCAGCCTATGGAAAAAGGATAAATTAGATAGACATTGCATCTTAAAAATTAATCAAAAATAGAATGTATAATGGATCAAAACCAGTTGGAATGGATGACTCACGATGCGCCATGAGATATGTTTTAGAACTACGGAGTTCTGATAGCATTATAAAATATCTGGTCACATTGATCACTCAGATAACGGGCAATATAGCATGGCCAAATCTATTTTATTGTTTGAAACCACCAACTAGGTATATTTTCAGGACTGCTTGGTGTTACTCTCTCAGCACCATCTGCTTATGGATAGTCGGGCCATTTCTTTGCTCAACCTAGCTTTTCTCTGCTTTCTTTATGAGAACTAGAAGACCCCGTTAGGGAGGAAGAGCAAAGGGCTTCAACATGGTCTAGACTTAGTCCCAGGTCCTTGACCCTCTTGATTCTGGGAACTGAGTGTGTGAGACTGGATTGACCGTGGCTGACAAAGACAATGCAGGAACTTAGCCAGGGAGTCACCCCCACTCAGATACAGTTCAGAAAAGGGACTTAAAAGGGGGGAACTTAAAATTGATGGGTCTCTTCTATTCCTGTGTTCTATAGGATCTAGAGGTAATTATTTTATTGAAGCATACCCCAAGATGATACTTAACTGATCTTTAAAAATAAAACAGTTATAGGATGTTTAGCTCACTCCATGTAACCATAGTCCTATTTTGAAGCATTTCCTCATCAGCATACAAAGAAGTTGTTAATTTATTCTATGCATTTTAAGTATTCTAATGTAGTACTGAATTAATACGTGTTTACTTATGGCTAAAACATCAAAATTCAAAGCCTTGTATGAAGTATTGTTACGGAGTTTTTCTTTTACCGTGTAAATACCCCTTCATGATGATTAATTGGATCGAAAGTACTATGCCAGGTAAATTTAGATAGATCATCATTTAAATCTAGCTATGGAAAAAATATATATAAATAGACCAAAATCTGATCTTATGTTTTCTTTTTACATGTATACACCTTGAATTTTGTTGCAGAGATATTACAAACATGTTTGTTTTACTTTGGGTCTTTTATAAACAAAAACACAATCTCCCTCCCCCTCTCCCTCTCCCTCTCCCTGTCCAGTTTCTAATCTGGACTACTTTTAAAAGACAAGGATTCTTACTGTTTATACATTAACCCTTCTTAAAAATTATGAATTCCCTGAAATTTTTTATCCCATTCTAAATTTCCACCCATTGTGCTCTGTATGTCATTTTACAAAATAAATATTTTATCTGACCTTTTTCACCAATAGAAGAGAAAAATAAAAGTAAATTACTTTTATCTTAACCCTAATAATTTCTTAAATTTCCTTGATTCATAACCATGTACTGCTCAGTTGCTATGGCACAAGATTTAATACTATTGGGGGTGGGGGAAGAGGTCTTATCTTTGAAGATTTGGGTGTACTCATATGGATTTATCCTATCTTGTAAATTTATTCATTTTGTACTTCCACAAATAGGTATATTGCAGTAAGAGAAGTCAAAATTGAATAACTTGAGTTTCTCCAACTAAAAATGTATTTTATTCTTATATCTGTTTATTGCAAAAATAAATTACTGAGTTGGGTAATATTATTTTAGTCACTAGACATAAGTCAGATGAAGTCTCTTCTCTTGTGGAGTCTAGTAGGGAGACAAACTATAAATAGATGAATACAGATAACCTCTAGAAATTTCTTAGAGGTCTTGTAGTTCTTCTATATATTATTTCTTCATTCCTTTCAGCTAACTTTTGTTGAGTGTGTTCTTGCCAAGAACTGTACTAGTTAGTGTGAAGATGATGACAAGCACCCTGTGTCCTTTGGATGCTCAAATCCATGCACACTGCTGCCGTGTTCATCCCGTAAGAATGCGGTTCCATCTCTCGTGCATCTCAGTAGCTGCTCACTCGATTGTCTTGATGTTGTTGTGCTACTTTTATTAATAGAAAGAAAGGTATAGATTAGACTAAAAATCAATAGCTACCCTCTACATATGAAGAAAATGCAACTGACTCATAAGCTACTTTTCCTGATATGCTGATAGAACTTTACATATTCATCTGCTGTCTTTCACCAGCACCTTTCTGCCACCCTGTGCTTCTAGGATGGATAGTTGAGCACATTAGCTTGGCTGTCTTCCCGCTAAGCTAACCATTATTTCTTTTGTTGGTTCATCAGGCAGGTATGTATCTTGTAAGTATTTGCTATGGGCAGGCACCATTAGGGATTAAAAAAAAAATAAAAATGGAATCAAACATGGAGCCTTCCAGGACAATTTCAGATAAGTTTAAGTACATGTCAGTTCTTTCCAAGGATAGTGAATTTAGAATTAAGATTTATTGATTAGTGTTTAAAGTCTCAGAAGATGGGAAGAACCTGCTGCCCACTCCTACCTAGGTTTGGATGCATAAGGAACCCTTCTTAAATTTTAAATTGACCAATGAGCATTGTGATCATCCTTGTCCCCTCTGCTAAAGGTCTGTTCCATTCCTCCTATCAATGACATCAAAAATTTATTTTATCTACTGATGGAGATGTTTCCATTTGTACCTCTCAAGTGATTAAGGAGACCATGTTTTGTTATATCCTTTCACCCTCCCTCCTCCCCACTCTTTTTTGAGGGGTTGAGTAAAAGGTTGGGACAAAAGGTATACGAGGAACCCTAAATAGTGACAGTGAGAAGAAGCCAAGACTGTTTGCACTGTTAGAGAAACTATGAAAGAGCTCATATCAAAGACTGAAGATAAACCATTCATCCTCCATGGGTTGGCATATCTCCAGGTTGGAGGGACTTTCATTAGTGACTTCCACAGCCTCTGTCTGGTGCAGATTCTTGTCAAGTTGGGCTTAATAAGGATGTCTCTGGAGACATTTTATTCTTTGCAGTGAATGTTGCCCTGTTACTAGAAGCTAACAATTATTTTGAGTGACACCTGAGAGACATTTGCTTTATCCCCACCCTCCTGTGTGTGGTCTTGCCTTATGACGCACCAGCAGATTTTACATGCTTCTCTAGCATTCATGTATCACTCTGTGGCACTCCAGGAAGTATGCTCCGTAAAGCCAAACAGGCTTACTGGAAGAAATCTGGGTCTTTGTTACTAAGAGTCCATCTGTTCCTGCTGCTTTATTCCCCTCCTCAAGCAACAGTGCTCTGCTGGGAAGTGATTATGATATGACAAACAGGGGATTATGACTTCAGGTGAAGAATAGGCAGCAGGAACAGGTGAAATTTAGAATACTAAGATTGTGTTTACATGCAGACATTCGCAGTGGAGAAGAAGAGACGAGAAATAAAACATATGAGTATATAGGCTAAAGGAACTGAGATGGTTGGGTATTTCATAAGGCATCCACTATTTAAATTCCTATCTATCTGAAGGTTCAAAATCAGATGCAGTTCTCAGAGTAATAGGAACATGATATTGGAGCCGGGATGTAGGGAAGTAGGGTCCTGCCTTCCCTGCCTGAAGAAACTGTCATGGCAAGGGGCCATCTTTACTTACTCCCCATATGGAATGTGCTTGCGAGTGCTTCTCCCTGGGACCAAGAGTCAAGCTCCATATGCATATGTATAGTGCTGGAAGACAACCTGCTCTCTGGAACTGTGAAGACAGGTTTCCTTGTCCACTTCTGATGGGAGCCTCCCTGCTCCAGGCCCACAGCCCTTCCCTCATCATTTCTCTGGTTAGGAAACTCATGTCTGCTTCCCTGGCTGCCAGTGATACATTGGAACTATCTGTGTTATAAGCAACAGAAATATAATCAAGCTAGATTAGACACACACAAAAGAAGAATTTATTGGTTTACAGATATACCTGGGAAATCCAAAAGAGAGAATTTTGCTTCTGGTGTGTCTAGAATCCAGAAG